TTGAAGTTGGAGAACATAAATAAAACCAAGACAGACAATGAGTGATCACTGATACATTTCATTTAAAAAATGTTGTAGTGATAAAGCATATTTCTTGAAGACTAGTTATAATACTTAAATCTCAGTTGCTGCACTTTATCAAGCATATATTATATATGCAGAGGTGCAACTCTTCTCTATAACCACAGGTTATGTAAAGTCAGTACCATTTATTGCACATTTTACATTCTTACATGCATCATTAAATAGTTAAGCACAATAAAATTTAAGCATTTGAAAGTGCTAATCTATGTTGGTGTTTTAAAATATAGTATGCATCCGTTCTGATGCATAAAGCAGTGAGTGTCTCAGAGTAAACATTGTATTACAGATTTCCTCAATTCCCTGTAGAATTTTATTACTTTCTCCCTGTGGGGAATTTTTAGCAGCTCTGCTGCCCTTAATGAAAACAAATCTCTGGCTTCCACCATGGAAATTTGCAAAAGAATGCAGTGTCCACAGCAGCTTTATATGAATGATTTTAATAATCAGCACACAGAAGGCTATATCCCCCACAAGATTATACAGTGTCTAGTAGTGCAACTTAGTTGTGAGCATTGTTTAAATAATGTCACACCCAGCAAATAATTTATTCCAACTCAAAACTCCTCTTTTCATCTGTTATCCATACCAGAGAAATCACAATGCATTCTTCTTTCATTAGGAATGGGAGTTGGAAAATCCTGTCAGCCCCTATTATTGGAGTTCCCATTTTATCCCAGCTATGTGCAAAAACCAAAAGCAATTACTATGTTACTAATGCTTTTTTTGAGGGGGGGGGTTTACATTATATAGTGTAATAGGGATAGGAAGGTATGGCTTTCATTAAGATACTTCTAAAGGTAGGGGGCTATGTACCATGTCTAGCTGCATTTGAGCAATGCTGTTTACTTAGGATACTCAAACCAAAGTGATTTAAATAAGCCCACATTTTGTATTTTACTTTCTTCCACCTGCTTCATAAAATAGTGTTGCATCTTGGACCTCTAATTAAGTTTGGAGATTACAAACAAAGCTGCTAGAAAAGAGAGAGGCTCAGATAAAAATCTGAAATTGAAGAAAAATGTTCTGGAACAGCTGTTTGAACCATCAGATTAGTTTTCTCTTGTTAGCACAGAGCTAGTTGGCCAGCTCTTCAGTTGGTTTGAATAGATACAACTCCAGTCATCTCTTCTAGTTTTTAAAATTATAGGCACTACAGTGCCACACTCAAAAGCAGTTTTTACCCATAGATATCAAAACCTCCCTGTGCACTGTCCTGTACCATTGAGTTGCCACAGCTGCTGCTTAAGATTTATCCCAATTCTGTTAGAATACATAGGCCAGAGGTGTAACAAGGCAGCTGGTGCCTGAGGCAGCACAATGTATTGGGACAGTGAAATCTTCTGGTTCCCCCCATGCTGTTGGCATGAATGTGCAGCTGTTATAGCAGCAGTTATTTTTCCCCAACAAGGCACCCAGAGCTGCTCCCCTGTTGCCCTGTCTTAGTTATACTACTGATGTGGACTATAGTAGACAATTCAGCTCTGCAGTGGAAGCTGGATTGGTTTAGTAGGCTCAGTTGCCACATAACAGTACTATCTTTTTAGGTCAAGTACTCTACAGTAGTGATTATTTTATTCACTGTTTTATGTCTTCTGATTTATTTCTTATTTTTTTAACTAAATGTTCTGTGTAAATTTTTTCATAGTCAGACGTTTTGTAAGGTGTGTTCCATAGTACCTTTTTGCAAGGTGTGTTCAAAGGAATGGATCTCAGAATCTCCAGTGGAAGGTAATGGAAGGTAAATGGTGTCACACTTCTTTCACAAGTGACTGCCCCTTAATCCAATTCCAAATCATTCTCAAACAAGCTGTCTGATGGTCTCTGGAGAGGGAGAAAAATGCTTTCCTGGTTCATTGTTTCTGGGACTTAAGCGTATTTTCTATTATCCTATATGGGTGTCTGTTTTTTCAGACTGAGAGCTGCACAGTGAGTAGCAAAATGTTTCTTTGCAAGTCAAATGGCACAAAATTTTTATTAAGTACCTCAGCAGCACCCAAAGATTAGAATTTTTACAATGTAACACATCCGTGTAATGATAAAATTAGTGATGCCATTTCTATTAATATGCTTTGCTTGACTCATTTCCTTGACCCTTTAGAATGCTTTCTGGACATACAAATATTCGGTTTGTTTCCCCATGGAGAAGAGGGAATTCAGAAGGAATCCATCTAAAATGGACAGATTTTTGCTATCTTGAGCAGGTGGGAGTTCAGCCTACACAGCACTATCTTTCCATTATTTCTGAAACCTTGATGTAAGTTCACACACAGGCATGGGGTTCCCCACTGGAAAGAGGGGAGGAGCAAAGGGAACAGAGCTGGAACATGACAGCTGCTTCTGGGATTTCCCCATAACTGAGGAGAACAAATACCACTATCTCCTTCATAGACCTAACTTTTTCCTAAGGTGATTCCAGGGAGACTCTCCAAACTGTAAGTCAATCCAAATTTACATTGGTATAAATAATGCCAAAATTTGCCAGAAGAAAGCCAAAATAAATAATGCAAAATTGATTTATTTCTGTAGTCTTCCTAAGGTAAAGCTCACTCCTGTACAGGAGACTAGGTACCCACATCCCTTCTATAATAATGGGCCAAATGTGAAAAGCATGGGATTTTTTACCAAGAGGTGAATTTCAACCATCCAGCCCAATCCATTGCAAACCTCTGAACTGTGCTATCTTACAGTTCTGAAGGTTTCCTGCCTAATTATCACATAATTTCACAATTAGGTCCTATATGAGCCATTTATCTAATTATTCTCTTCCTGCAAACACTGTAGAAAGTGGTGAGAGAATGAAAGTACCTGTCACTAGATCATTTAGTCCATGTCTCATGTCACTGAGTTTACACAAAGAAAATTAGTTTACTAAAATGATGCCACTACAACTTACAGAAATGTATGCACAACCTCTTGAATTAATATGGTGTTTATGATCTATGATCTATGTCCTGCAGATCAGATTGAGCATAAAACAGGGGATTGCTATAAATTTATGTATCAAATGCAGGCTAGGAAATCTTTCTTCTTCACAGCCCCTTTCTACAATACAATAAAACATAATTTAAAAGGTGCAAAAAGTGCATTGAAAAACTAAGAAAATACAACGTTTTATCTCAAGTAAAGGCATATGATCAAATACAACATTGGAGAGAGGCAAAGTAATATCTTAATTATTTCATATTTCAGAAAACCTTTGTTTTGAGGGTTGGTTTGAGGATATTTTTCACAACAAAATATAAGACACTGAAAAAGATATTCCATTTATCCTGGGGCTAATGCTGATCCATCATACCCCCCCCCCTTTTTTTTTAATACCATCTTAATTTAAGCAACATTTTCAGTGACAGTAGTAGAGAAGGATTCCATGCAAGTACTTCATAATTCTTTACTTAGGTATTATATTGCTGTTAGCTTCTAGGAGCTCCAGTCACACTGTGTTCAACACAGTAAATAGAACAAAAATACTGTCCCTACTCCAAAGACATGATAAGCTAAAACAAGAAGTGATAGTGCATAGAGGCAGTGTCATTATTTGCAAGATGATGATGTGGCTTTTTGACAAGCACCTATGAAAACCGGTTTAGAAGTTGCATTGCTAACTTTCAAAAGTGCTCTGGATACTCGGTATGGTTTTAGCACCATGCAGCCAATGTATGTGCTCCTTTTATGGGTTTTTGACATAAAAACCTGAAGTTGCTCAGCAAGTTTATGCAGAATGGTGGAAACTCAAAAAATGAGATGCCATATTTGGGAGGTGAGCTGGCAGCTGTGGACTGTTAGGCTATTAGAAGGTAGAGAGCTTTTACACACACTGACCAGGGACAAGTTACACATAAACTGGTTTAAGTCATCAAAATTGGTTTAAACCTGTAACAGAATACAAGTTCAGTGCACATAAACCAGTTTCAAAATGGCTGAAACTTTAAAAAGATAAACCTGGTTGAATGTAGTATCAGACTTAACTGATTTGTGTCAAACCAGTTTATGAAACTTCTGTCCCAGACCCCTTCTTGGTTCAAGTAAAATCACAGTCTTCCAGCATACTTTCCAGCCCTGGGCTGGGCTATACTGTCTGCTCCAGCAGAGAATGGTTGGGGGAAAGGGAAGGGAGAAGCAGGGGCTGCCCACCACAAGGCAAACTCTGACTGGCATCTGGGCCCAGGAAGAGGGGTTAATTTCCCTTCCCCCCAGGTACAGAGCTGCCCTACCCTGCCCTGCTAAAAACTTACTGCTGGTTGCGACTGTGGACTACAAATCCCAGATGCACCTGGAAGCAGGAAGACGTGATGAGCACCCTGCAGAGTCCTGCTGCTGTGACTGTGGACTGAGAATCCCAGAGGCCTTGGGGGCAGCAGGAAGAGGAAATGAATATACAGCCCATGCTGGCTATGTCCAAAGAGCCATGCTCTAGCAGCCCCTGGCTTCTGGCCTGAGCTACTGCAGGTATGTGGCTCCATTTCCTAAGTCAAAAGTGAACGTCTGTCCAGTTGTTTCTCAGTTTAATCTCTACAACTTAGACTAACCTGCAAAGACTGAATCGATTCAGCCTGAGGCTTTTTGAGTGTCTATTTAGCCACGAAGCCATAAAAAGGAGAGTAAGAGAAGTGATTCCAAGAGAAGTAGGGAGATGGTTAGCCATGGTTAGTCAGAAGTTGGGCAGAAGGCAAGGTAGACTGGCACCTTAGGGCACCTATAAACATATAGCAAGGCTGCTCCGATGTGCTGTAATAACAATGTGTCCGAACAGACTTGATTGAGTCTGCTGGAGCCTGGTAAGTACCACAGTTCAGCAGACTCCAGCATCCCATGTATCAGCATCCCTATGCTGAAAAATGGCAGTGGGGTGCTTTAACTAAAGTTTGTCAAACAAGCTTTAGTTAAAGCACCCCCAGTGCCATTTTTCAGTGTGGGGATGTTGATCCACATGACACTCTCAGAGCCTCTCTAATTAAAGTGCCCCTCCCAGAGCACGTGTATAAATGCCCTTAGAAACTACTTTGTTCAGAGAGGCATAAGACTCTGTAGGTGATAGCCAGCTTCATCACTTGACTCGTTAGCATCTGACAAGGTAGGCTGTTTCCTTCAAAACCTCATGCCTCTCTCAACTAGTTAATCTCTAACACTGTGGCTCTCAACTGGAGTTTCACAGCACCATTACCACCACCACTACCACAGCCAGGTGAAACTGCCTTACTTGCCTCTGCTTCTAGGTGGTATATGCAGGGCCAGACTAGAAGCCAGTTGTGGCAGGGAGAGGGACTCCTGTCTGCATTAGTTTCATCTGATAAACCTAATGCAGGGGCATCTTGTCCTGCCACTTCCTGGTGTGGCCTTGCATGAACCTCCTGAAAAATGAAGTTTTGCTGAATTTGGGTAAGTTATGGAGGGAAGTAGAGGTGCTATAAGTCTAAACAGGTTGAGAACCACTGCTCTAAGGTGCTATCCTGCCCTACCTTTTGGTTTGTCTGAAGAAGGTGACCCCCTGCATTGTATGCATACTTAGATAAAACAGAATGAAGCTGGCCTAGGGGGGTCTGTAACAAAAGAAAGCTGCCTGGTGACCACTCTGCTCTTCTCTAGCTAAAATCAGAACAGCCTTTCCTCCCTATTGAGACCTCACTTGGAGACCATGAGCCCAGCTCTCAAAAGTAGCTGGTTCCCCTGTTGCTTTCTTGCCAACTTCTGAGGGAGTTTTGGCTGAGTTCAGACTTTCTAACATGGCTCTGTGGAAACAGTCTGAAAATTCTCTGAAATGAGGAGTCAGTGTTACTGATGTGAAACCATTTTTTCCCACGTTCTTAGAATTTACTCCCCTCTAAAATTTAACTCATGTCAGTGATATGGGTCTTCTGCACCAAGATGAATTTCAGTTCTTCTGTAATCACAATTTTCAGTAGTTTTATTGATCTTAAGACAGGCTTTAGCTATGTACTACTTTATTCTTTCATAGCTGGATAAATAACTTGTAGATTTTCCACTTGTTGAAAAAGTGGCTAGTCCTTTAGCTTGATCTTTTCAATAATAGATAATTTCCATTAATAAAAACCATCTCTAGAGTCCTGCTGCTGTAAGGCTTGGTAGTGTAGGATTCTATTTTTTAATTAACGTTGACATTTGTTTTGTTGTCTCTGGCTATTTGGATTATAGCTTAACAATTTAATTTAACTGTGCTGAGAAATTAATTGCAAAGATAATAAACAGCATTTTAAGCCTTCATTATCTGGGGTTATTTATTTTCTTACATAACAATCAGACATTAGCATATTTTGGCAACTTTTTGCTTTTCACTTCTTATGTATTCTCATTAGTAAATTAATTAAATGTTCAGTCTGGATTAATACTATAAGTAGTAAAATTAAATGATTATAGGGCATTGTGTAGGTGTGTATCTGTATATACATCTCTCCATAGACAGATATATTTATGTAAGAGCATGATTACAGCGTGCCACGTACACATATGCTCTAAGAGCCAGTCCTAACTAGGATATCCACTAGTCATTTTTAAAGCTTTCCAAGGTTTTCTGTACCACTGCACTCAGCCTTCAGTGCAAGACCAAGCTTTATTTGTCACCTATATGCTACAGTGGTGAAGAGTGCAATAGAACTTAATTTTGCTGGTCCTTTGATCCCTTAGTTATGCAGATATATGCACACATCAATGCAACTTTTAGCAGACGAAACAACATTGCATGCTTGAAAATGAAATCCAGAAGTAAGTACCATTTAAATCTTCAACACAACCTGTTTCATCTCTGAGGAAGTCTGTTTTGTTTGTTAGCCATACTTCAAGCATACCTGACATCTACTAATTTTTTTCCGCTGTTCCTGCCCTTCTTTGAGAGTTTGTGACAGAGGAGCAGATGTGAATTGCAATTCTGGCCTCACAGTTGTTAACCAGAAACTGTACTCATTAGCAAAAAACTGACATGTTCCCTGCTGACCCTGGCATTCAATGAATGGTGCTGATCTGAAGTCTTCAAGGCAACTCCCAGGTGACATAAGAGACTGTCCACCTCCCTGGTCTCCAGATCCAGTGTGCTGGAAGGAACAATAGTGAACAAATTAGATAAGTAGTATACCTACTGTCTTTGTTGTTTGTAATTATGTTTGGGATTTTTTTCCAGTATGGCAAATATTCCCAAAAAAGAATCTGCATGGGTATATTCCTTGGGGGGAACCTAAGTTACAGTAAACATCTTATTCTATCAGGAAGACTTGGATTTATACCAGCTCATCTCAGAAGTTTAGAACCAGCTTTGCTCTTCTAGCTTGGGATCTGCCAAATCAAAAGAAGCTGTAGATCAATTGGGGCTGTCTATTTTAAGCAATAGCTTTATTTAGACTTATTTCAAGCAAGGTTAGGTAAGACAACTAAGAATGTAAGTCTCATCTACATAAGAACCTGCAATTTCCAATGGATGCAAGTTCCTCTAGTGCTAGTATAGGTGACAATTTGCTGTTGTGGTTCACTGGTAGAATCCTCATCCACTATATGGGAAATCTGGGTTTGATTCCCGGATGCGCATTGAGGCAGTGAATGTCTGGACTTGGTCTAGCCTTTGAATTCTGTCTCAATGGTCTAAAAGGGATGAGGGATGGGGGGTGGAAGATCTAGGCATCCTCCACTCCTGCATACTCCTGCCTAGGTATATGCCTTGAAGGTCCTGTTGACGTCTCACGCATACGCAATGATCCAGAAGGACTGACAGTTACCTACTACTACTAGTACAGATGAAAGCTATATTGTACACCAGCAGTGATCAATTCTTCCATCCCTGTGGGTTGGATGCAGATGTGGAACATGGGGCCAGTCTGCTGGGTGGTTGTAGAATACAAGGCCATGTCATCTGGCCAGGACCATAGGGATGGAATTTGGAGGCAATACTGTTAATTGCTCTGGCTTCTAGAATCATGGAAGCTGCCACTCCTCCCACTACCAAATTTCCAGCCCCATGTGGAACCCTGAAGGCCACATGCTGTGGCTTGGTGCTCTGGAACCAGCCCATGGGGCTCCCCATGGATCCAGAAATTTGGTGGTAGGACAAATAGTAGCAGTGTTAATTGCTGCAACTCTGGAAGCCTCAGCAGTTAATGCTTTGACCCATGCTGCCAACCATGCTGCCAAATTTCCAGACTCATGGGAAGCTGTTCAGGCCAGTTGACATGGCTCTGTGGGCCAGATCCAGGCTGTGAGCCATATCTTGGTCACCCCTACTTTAGACTAAGTTGTGCTTGTTATAATTTGCAACTGGCAGTTCCAAAGGTGTAAAATATATGCATGTGCCTCAGGTCTTCAGAAAGAAGAAGGAAATTCTCCCTAGTAACTCTAAACTATTTGGGACTGTATCACCAGGCCAAATGATGCTCTGTTAAGTAATTGGTAGAATCCATTTTATATTTATGTGACTGAAAGAAGAGTCAGGTTCATTAGGCTCTTCTTTGTGTGTTTATAATTTTTCATAAGAACAAGGTTCAACAAGGACAAGTTTGCATAACAACAACATAAAATCTAAAATCAAAAAAAAGTTTTTACAGCTACAGTGACAAGCGTAGTTATAATATGAATATTACACATCTGTAATCTCTATGGATTTTTTTAGCTGTCCCACTGTTATTCCTTTAAAAAAATGAAGGTCTCAAGTGAAAAATAAGTACAAGCAGGTAGTACTTCCCATTTTAAATAAAACTTATTGACATCATGGTCAAAATTTCTGAAATTGTGTAAAATTCTTTTGTTGACACTTTTCACCTAGCTCTGTTGTTAAATTTAAAAAAAAAAGTTATAGAAGTTAAGATAAATAAAATTGACAAACAACTAGATGGAGACCAAAATTAGTATTTCCTTGAAAAGCAGTGTGGGAGGACAGGGGCATCCCGAACTGCATTTACGGGATTTTCTCTAATTTTATGTACAATTGACAAGTTATATAAATAAACATAATTTCTATTGCCCATACCTGAAGTGAGCAAGTAATTCACAAAGTAATATTCCTAGAGAGGAAATTGTAGTTTGAAGAGGAAGTATTATATTATTTTCCTAAATACAGTATTGTGTGCAAATACAGCTAAGTAGCAAGTAGTAATGACATTTAGAGTAGCAAGTGCCATCTCTATATTTTTAAGAACTACCTTTAACTTAGGGATGAGAATTTAAAAAAAAGAAAGCTCAATATTTTGAAGCTGTTCTTATAGAACTGGAGCCATTTTTTACTTTTGTATCTTGTATGTTAGGTATTTCATTCTCTATTTTATAGTTTTTCTTTTCACCACAAACTAAAATGTTTTGTACAGAAAGTGACAGCAGATTTTGCAGTATCCCAGGAACCCACAATCTTACCATTAGAAAGGAATATCCTATCCAAAGACTTCTCCAGTTCTGTGGGCAGGGAGGAATGAACTGATCTTGGCTATGAAGTGCTATAGCTTGAGCTGGGGCCTCACATACAGCACATCTGCTAATATATGGTTTTATTTCATCTTCAGAGAGTGGCATCATTGGTAGAGGAGCAGCACTTGACAGCCAATAAGATTTATCATTTCGACTAGCGTAGTAACAAACTTGGTTGATGTTGCAGTAGGTAAAGGGCATGGTACTAAATAAAGGAAGGCAAGATCCTGCCAGACCTAAAAAAAAAAAAAGAGAGAGATCAAAAAACCAAAACTGAACTTGAAAGTCCTGCAGTTCCTACACTGATTCCAGACAATATGAAACTAATACTCTAACCCATTTTGTTGCAAATTTGGCTGAGTTAACAGAATGTTATAGTTGACTAAATCTTTAGTTTCCCAGCCCTTTTTTTTTTTTTTTAAATAGAGTGCTGATTTTGTATTTGGAGACTGAAACTTCTTGTGCATCAGCTTCCTTTTTACCAATACATTTAGTGGGGTCACAGTGCAGGTTTCAACATGATATACTTTGTCATCATAGGAACAATTACAATAACAAGTATTTTGGAATGTGCAAGAACTAAAAAACCTGGGCAAGAAGAGACATCTGGTTAGGAAGGAGTGCTATGAGCATTAAGAAAAGAAATGACAGATGTGCCCAACTAAACAATGTTATAAAATATGACGAACCATTGGTGCCAACTCATTGGGTGTGTCCAGATGAGCCCACATGTGCCTCTTGCAGCATCTCAAACCCCTTTGAGATGCTGCAAGAGACATGTGCAGAAACAGGAAAAGGTTCCCCCCACAGCAAGTGTGCAATGCAGGGGCAAAATTAGACCCCTGAATATCCAGAGATAAAAAAAAATGGAGCGAAAAAAGTGGGGCAGGGCACAGAAGACCATGCCTTGAGGCAACTGGAGGTTGGGTCCTCCACAGAGACACTCTGGCTGCCAGTGTCTCTGTGGTTGGCCCTTGCCCTGGTGCTGAAGCACATTGCCTCCCCCTGCAAGGCAGGCAGTGTGCCAGCAGCAGGACTCCAGTGCTGGTAAGTAAGGGATCAGGACGGCTGGAGAAGGGGAGGGGACTATGGGGGGGACCCCTGCTGGCCATGCCCACTCCCCCCCTCAAGCCTCTCCTGATCCCTTCCCTGCCCTGCCCAGCCCCATCCTCCTCAGTCCCCCCGAGGCCCCCGATCCCTGCCACCCCACCCCAGCATCCCCACAATAAAAAAACAAACAAAAACCTGGCACTTACCGGCAGTACAGGTGTGGGTGACAGCCCCAGCAGCCCAACTTGGGCCCTGCTGCCACCCACTGCCCTGTGTTGCCCAGGGGGGCTCTGCCAGGAGGCCCTGAAGCCCCCCCAGCCCCTGTTTCTACGGTGAGTAGAGGCTTTTTTTTTTATTTAAGTGCCTGGGGTTAGGGGGGCAGCCCTGGGGGGCTGAGGGTGTAAGTGGGGGGGCAGGCTGGGCAGGGCAGCCAGTGGGGGGGCTCGGTGGGGCAGCCATCAGGGGACTGCACGAGCTGGGGCCAGGTGGGACAGCAATTGGGGGGCTTGGGTGAGGCATATGGGCCCTGTGGGGGGGGGGGGATAGCCCCTGCGGGGGCCATTTGGCCCCTGTTTAGGGGGCTGTTACCCCTGTGAAGGGCTGTGGCCCCTGTTGGAGGAGCTGTTACCCCTGTTGGGGAGCCATAGCCTGGCAGCCATCAGGGGACTGCACGAGCTGGGGCCAGGTGGGACAGCAATTGGGGGGCTTGGGTGAGGCATATGGGCCCTGTGGGGGGGGGGGGATAGCCCCTGCGGGGGCCATTTGGCCCCTGTTTAGGGGGCTGTTACCCCTGTGAAGGGCTGTGGCCCCTGTTGGAGGAGCTGTTACCCCTGTTGGGGAGCCATAGCCTCTGTGGGGGGCAGCAAAACATATTCATGTATTCATGAATTCATGAAACGTGTATTTAGAATTCACTTTATTATTATGATAGAAACACTGGTAGTCTTCCAAACTACTTTAACACTGTAGATATATCAATAAAACAAGCCAAACTGATCTCTGTCTGTCTCTCTCTCTAAGCAGGACCCTGCCTGCTTAGAGCTGGCACCTTGGACCTAGCTGGAGGTGGTTGACCTCCTGGCCAATTGGGGCCAGGAGGACATGCTTTGACAGTTCAGAGCAGACCACCACATCTTCTGGGTGATAGCTGCCCCGATGGCCGGGCAGGAGGCACAAATGGCAGTGGTGCCGTCCCCCAGAGGGGCACATGCCTCCACGGGCTGTGCAGTCCTCATCTGAGTCTGGCAGGTGTGCAGCAAGTCACAGCCAGGCTGCAGCCCCCACTGCCAGACTGCTGCAGTGGGTACAGGGTGCAGGGAACTTTCAGGGATGCTTCAGCAGTCCAGCTGGCACAAGGAGTAATATCCCCAGGTACCAATTGGCTGGGTCCCAGAAGCTCCTGAGAGCAAGTAGCCCTGAGCTCCTGGCCAGGGCAGGTTTTTATGCTGCTGAGGCCACCAGGTTCTAGCTCCCCCTGGCTACAGTTCCGGGAGGAGCCAAGCAGGGTTATTTTGCCCCAAGTGGCACAATTTGCTCCACAACAAAGTGCATGTCCAAGCACGTGCACCAAGGCAAAAAGCCCTGGCTCAAATCTGCACTGCTTCTATTTGAGTTGCTGCAAGCGCATGTGCTTGCATGTGTGGACGTGCCCATTAAGATTAAACTTGGATTATTCTGTTGCTTCTAGGAAAGGCTGTACAAAGTCACTTCCAGCCCTAGTTTTCTATGATTCTATGCTGTCTGCAAAAGATCCCATTTTTAAGATGCCATAGAATCATAGAAGTAGGGTCAGAAGGGACCTTGTAGATCTTCAAGTCCGACCCCCTGCCTGGGCAGAAGGAAAACTCGGCTCAAATGACCCCAGCCAGGTAGGCATCAAGCCGCTTTTTAAAGACCCCCAGGGTAGGAGACAGCACCACTTCCCTTGGAAGTTGGTTCCAGATCCTAGCTGCCCTGACTGTGAAGTAGTTCTTACGGATGTCTAATCTAAACCTACTCTCCAACAACTTGTGGCCATTATTCCTTGTTATCCCGGGGGGCGCTAGGGGAAACAAGGTCCCCCCTAGTGAGTTTATAGACGGTCACCAGGTCCCCCCTCAGCCTTCTCTTGTAAAGGCTGAACAGGTTCAGGTCCCGTAGCCTCTCATTGTAGGGTCTGCCCTGCTGTCCCCAGATCATGCAGGTGGCCCTCCTCTGGACCCTCTCCATGTTGTCCACATCCCTCTTGAAGTGGGGTGCCCAGAACTGGACACAGTACTCCAGCTGCAGCCTGACCAGTGTCGTGTAGAGGGGGAGGATCACCTCCTTGGCCCTCCTTGAGATGCACCTGTGGATGCAAGATAGGGTCCAGTTGGCCCTGCCGACCGTGACCTCGCACTGTCGGCCCATGTTCATCTTGGAGTCAATAATAACTCCAAGATCCCTTTCTGCCTCCGTGCTCTCAAGAAGGGAGTTTCCCATATTATAAGTGTGCTGCTGGTTACTACTGCCCAAGTGAAGCACCCTGCACTTGTCAGTATTGAAACGCAACCTGTTTTTGTTAGCCCACCCCCACAACCTATCCAGGTCTTGCTGCAGTCTTTCCCTCCCTACTAGCATGCCCACCTCACCCCAAATTTTGGTATCATCAGCAAATTTAAACAGGTTGCTTTTCACCCCGTCGTCCAAATCGCTGATAACGCAATTGAACAGTGTGGGCCCAAGGACCGAGCCCTGGGGGACTCCGCTGCCCACTTCCCCCCAGGTCGAATATGACCCGTCCACCACCCCCCTCTGAGTACGACCCTTCAGCCAATTTGTAATCCATCTGGCATCTTTTGCCATGCCTGCAAAAGAATTTGCTAAGGGTCTGTGATACAAAATACTACTCTAAGACTGGGGCCTAACAAAAAAGACCTTAAAAGAAACCTTAAAAAGACCTTAAAAGAAACATATATGAGAAGCAGAGAATAGGAGTGAACAATAACACATAATGGGACTTTATTTTAGTTGACCTTTAAGACTGTTTGATAGATAATTCTGCTGTCATAACTCTGGTTATGCTGGAGGTTGCCAAGTGAGTGAAAATGAAAATAGTTAATACCAAAGATGATTCACTACAATGAAAAAAGAAAAATGACTCCTTTTGTCTTTTGCGCAATAGTTATAATGACGGTTAAGGACTTGTTCTTAACAGGACCTGCAGGCACTGAGCACTTCTTAAAATTAGATGGCTTGTTTGGTACCTAATTTTAGTCCTTTCTACTGCATTTCTCTTGTCCATTAGCTACTCCTGTTAATAATGTCTCTCATCTCTTATTCACAGTCCAGCTTCATTCCTTTAAGTAGACTCTTTTTATTTACATATGGAGTTTTACACAGACTTTGTTCTATCAGTTACTTAGCTCAAGCTGTACCTGTTTCTTTCTCATATCTGAGTGCCTGAAAGTTTGTTTAAAGTTCTCGCAACCAGCTGTAGTCCATGGCACAAGATACCTGTATTAGAATTCAGGAAAATTTTGGCTCCACCGTGTACTCAAAACATATGGCTAACCCATTCTAAAGGATATAATTCCCTATCACAGATGGCATGTATGATGCTGGGTTTTAAATGCCATTGAAAAACTATTTTTAAAAACTACTTCTTTTTCTGTATCAATGGAGAATTATTTTAGATGAAACATTTGATTTACAAAGAAACAGGATACCTGTAATAGTTGTAACTTTTGTAATGGTTTAAGAGAGTTGAGCCCAGTAACTCTCAGACATTAGGATGAGTGCATCTCCCTAGGTACAGGGGGCAAATAATGTACAACACAGTTTAACAGAATATACTTCAATGCTTTAACTGTATCTGACCAGTATACATCAGGCATGGAACATTTTAAGTGCTCTCTCTCCGATAGCAAATGACCATCATATACTGCTATACTTACCAAGATCTTGATTATGAGCTTTTTCCTGTCCTTCCAGATATAGCAGACTATAGCCAGTCCATACTTTTGGCATTCCCTGGGGGCAAAATGGCTCTCTGTCTGACTGACTGTGAAGGACAAGCAGGAATCCACTTGCAGCTCTAACTTCAGGCCCTGGTGGTCCTGGGATCCCAGTTTGGCCATGTGAACCTTATGCATGGGAGACAAGATAAAACACAGTTGTTTGTATGAACAGCTCAAGGGCTACTGGTGCAGGTTTTAAATTATCCATAAACGTTTGCAGTTAATAAAAGGTTCCAGACTGGATACAATACAAACTGCAGTACCTGCGATTTGTCCTGAGCAGTAATAACTCCAGGTGGTTCCTGCTACCCTATCATTTGGAGGGCAGTTCCATCACACAGCCAATGAATCCTCTGATCCTTGTCCTGATGCTGTCAGCTGTGCTAACTGTGCCATTTGGATTAAGCAGTGGGCTAAGATCAGCAAGTAATTTGACACAGACATTGATCAGTCTGGCTTGGATTTGAATTTGTACATTAACAGTGAACATGGGTTAACATCTGATCCCACTTTCAAGTACACAGAAGACCCAGTTATTAACAGAAGTCACATTTGAGATGCAACTTGAATTACCTGCAGAAAGTTAAACTCCTAAGGCTTTGACTCAAAAAAAAGCATCCTTACTCAGGTATGGTGCCTAAATATGCTCTAAATTGTTTTCAGAATTGTATTGGATTTAAGTTTGTTCTTTGGTTTCCACAATCACAGTCTTATTTTACATCAGCCTCATTTTACATCAACCTTCGTATGTGATTTCAGCAGAAATTTGTATAAGGAGCAATAGTCTTAAATTGCAGCAAGAGAAATGGAGATTAGCTTTTAGGAAGAACTTCCTCATCATGACAGTCATTAAACATTGGCACAGGCTACTGAGAGAGGTTATGGAATCTCCATCCTTGGATGTTTTCAAAAGCAGGTGAGACAGATGTTTGGCTGGAATGGTTTAGTCGGACAGTCTTGGCTTCAGCAGGGGGCCAAACTAGATGACCTCCTGAGGTCTCCAGCCCTACTATTCTATAATTCAATGAAACAGATCATTCTTACCTTGTGGTCCAGGGTATCCTTGTTCTCCTACATCACCTTGGTCACCTGGAGGACCAGGCAGACCTGGGGTACCATCTTGACCTGTCAAGCCAGGTGACCCTTCTTCCCCTTTTCTCCCTAGATGCACATAAAGAAGGCATGTTCACTTCATATGACTACACAAAAGCCAGACAATACATAGTGTACAAAGACAGTAATGAGTGCAGAGGCCAGATTTACAAGCTGGTAATGATCCCAAATATACTGGAAATATGCAAAAATGACATTTGAAAAAAAATCAAAGTTTTTACAGAATCTTCATATTAATGTGTACTGGGCAGATGGAAGCGGGGAGGAAGGAGTTTCATTCATTTCTTCAGGCTGTAATGAAGGGCAAGGGCAAGAAGTATGGGTATGTTAACATCAACAGAACTTCATGTCCTCTCTAAAGGCCATTTGTAATTAAAACTGAAACCAGGGGAAACTTGAGCCAATCGCATCCATTTCATGTCCAATTCAACAGATATTTAAGTATGAACTGCAATCTCGTTAGATAGGAGATAGTCCTGTTGAAAGTATCTGGGTTAGAGTCAGAGGTGCTGTTCTGGTGGGTGTCTGCTATAGACCACCAGACCAGGAAGATGAGGTAGGTGAAGCTTGCTTCAAACAGCAAGTGGAAGTTGCCCAATCATAGGCCCTAGTTCTCATGGGGGGCTTCAATCCCCCTAACATCGGCTGGGAGGGCAAAACACCAGTGCGCAGGCAATCCAGGAAGTTTCTGGAGTGTTGGGGACAACTTCTTGGGGCAAGTTTTGGAGAGGCTAACTAGGGACTGTGCTCTTCTTGACCTGCTGCTCACAAACAGGGAAGAAACGGTGGGGAATGTAAAAGAAGAGGCAACTTGGGAAGCAGCAATCACAACATGATTGAGTTTGGGATCCTGAGGAAAGGAAGGAAGGAGAGCAGCAGAGTAAGAACCCTGGACTTCAGAAAAGCAGACTTCAACTTGCACAGGAAACTCATGGGCAGGATCCCCTTGAAGGCCATTCTGAGTGGGGAAGGAGTCCCTCCAGTTATATTTTAAAGAAAACTTACTGAGGGTGCAGGAATGAACAATCCTGAGGTGCAGGGTAGTAGATACACTGGAGGATAGGGGTAGGATTCAGAGAGATGTTGACAAATTGGAGGACTGGACCAGAAGAAATATCATGAAGTTCAGTACAGCCAAGTGCAAAGTTAGTCTGGATTTAAGACAGAACAATCCCATGCACCAGTACAGGCTGGGGACCAACTGGCTATGCAGTAGCTCTGCAGAAAAGCACCTAGGGGTTAAAGTGGAAAATAAGCTGAATATGAACCAATGGTGTGCCCTGGTTGCAAAGAAGGCTAATGGCATCCTGGCTTCATTAGTAGGAGTGTTGTCAGCAGATCGAGGGGAAGTGATTCTTCTCCTCTATTCAGCACTGGTGAGGCCACATTTGGAGCACTGTGTCTAATTTTAGGACGCCCACTACAGTGGTGTAGAGAAATTGGAGAGAGTCCAGAGGAGTACACCAAAAATGACTAGGGTGTTGGGACACAGGACTTCTGAGGAGAGGCTGAGGGAACTGGGCTTATTTAGTCCGGAGAAGAAAAGTCAGAGCGAATTTGATAGCAGCGTTCAACTACCTGAAGGGTGATTCCAAAGATGGAGCTAGACTGTTCTCAGTGGTGGCAGATGACATAGCAAGGGGCAATGGTCTCAATTTGCAGCAAGAGAAGTTTAGGTTAGACACTAGGAAGAACTTTCTCGTTAGAAGGGTAGTAAAGCACTGGAACAGGTTACCCAGAGAGGTTTTCTATGATTGTATGAATCTAACACCACCATGTAGTTGACTGCTTTACTGAAGAGAGAGATTGACTGTTGACAGGGCCTGTACTGTTTATTACTGGAAAAGGCTCCTCATAGTCTCATAAGGTCACCTCTTCCCCACCCTTGGATAAGCAATAAATGATGTTCTGGTGTATTTTTGATTAACAGCTGGTACTAAAGTGTGGACATGTCAATTCTTGCTAGAGGTCACTTTATTGCAAGGCAGGGGATAATGCTGGATCCATCCACTGGATACTTTTAAGCAGCTTGTCTGACTTGGATACAGCTCCACATGTTGGATTTTGTTGTGTTTGGCAATCTTTGCCTCTTCTGGTGAAAGAGAATTTCCAGTTCAACACGTTTCCTAAGAGAAAGGGTTGGTTCTGCAACCCCTAATGAGAACTGCATGCTGCACTAATTATTTAGCCTTCTTTGCAAGCTGCACTAACTATGTAGCCTTCAGACTGAATGTTTTTTTAATAGTGTAAGACAACATTTAAAAATTCCCCACATGTTACTTTTTATTACATTCATTAAGAAAATCTAAAACAGTCAAAATAGCTTAACAGCTTTTGAAGGGCTGCTGCCTAATTATTTTGCCAAAGTTCAAGCACAGGGAAGTTTTAGTATTATGCCTCCCTTCTCCCAGTAAAATCTCCAGTTTATCTGCCTGCATAGCTTTCCCAGCAGGGGCAAGATTGGTTCCTGTTGTGTCAGTAAAAGAAAAGGCATCATTAAATACTTCTCCTGTCACACCAGCATCAACAGGTATCACTGTACCACCTGGTTTTACAGAAACTATTTAAAGATTTATATAACGGAAACACTGTGTCTCAAGCCCAAAGACTACTCTTGGTTGAATAATGGGTTCACTGTGGCAAACTAAGTAATGTGGTAAAAATAGTTTCTTATTCAAAGATCATCTCAAGATCCTTCTCTGAAGACCTAAAGATAGCCAGAATCCCCCATCAACGGTTTGTCTTATGAGCTTCCTCTTAAGCTCTTGTTCTGGCTATTTTTCTTTTTTTATTACTATAACTATCACATGTCCAGCTTTCAAGTTCTAGTAATTGCACACTGGTCTTGTATCCATCCAGCTTATGAGGGTGTTTCAGGCCTTCATTAGCAGAACCCTGTTAATTAGTTTTGTTAAATGTCAAAGCTCATGTTTTTGAACAATATGAGCTAGTGCCTAGTACATGGAGGGTTTGTGGTTTCCTATATTGATTGTGAATAAGAGGATCATTATTTGATGAGCTCAGCTTCGCCAATACATAATGCCCTGTCCTTCAGAAAGAACAGTGATGCTCTCAGGCTCAGGTAACATGTTGTAGCCAAGTTTTTCAGTCACCAGCATGTCCACCAGCATTAAGCATCCCAGTATTTTACAAAACATTTGTGGAAGCCACTGGGTAGGGGGAGACAATCGCAGAAATGAATAATAAAACAAGAAGCAAGGATGATCGGGAGTAGTGGCCTGGCTTGAGAGGACCATGGCTTGTTTAGTTAGGCAGCCTACAAGATGGGAGAAAATATGATTATTGGACATAACTATAGTGTGAGGAATGAAGAACAGAGACATGCAGTAGAAAAGATGACAAGATTAGTGTAAGAGCAAGACCACCTTCCCACTTGAATGGTGTAACAGGGGGCCTACTCAGGGCCGATCTCTGTGGCCCGCCCACCTGTTCTTGGGCCAACAGCCCGCTTTCTCATCTGCCACGCCTTGATGTTAATTGATTCACTAATTGATGTCAATTAAGCGGGAGGCTGCCCATTTTGGTGCCCCGATGCCAGGGGGCGCTCTCTGCGGCTCCTTTCCTCCCCTACACCGCAGCCCAAGCCTCGCAGATGGCATCTTGATGTTCACATAATCACCGGCCCCCACGCTGGGCCCCAGAATCGTCCTAACAGGACCCCTCCATGATCCCTCCACTCAGACGACCTCTCCGCCTTCATTCGGGCTACCTACCCCCCCGAAACCATTTTCCCCTCTCGGCTGTGGTCTCCCCGGGACCTTCGGCTACCAGCCCTGGCCCACCTCCAGGCCAGTCGGGACCCCCGGCCTCTGGCTCCTCG